TATATATATATATCATGGTTATAGATGACAAAAAATACTCATACTCGTAGATATTTACGAATAAAATTTACAATATCTTATGCATGGATATATTAAATGGTACTCATTTAATAATAAGGCATGGATAAATAGTAAAATACTTGTACTCGTGGATAATTACATTTTCAAAATATTAAAAATACTATTAATTATATATATTGATTTAATTAATTTTTACCATAAATATATATTCATAATTATTTATTTTAGTACAAATATATGTTATAATTTTTTTTAATATAAATACATGTTTCTAAATTTATTTATATTATTTTTTTAGTATTTTTTTTAAAAAAATTCATTTTAACAAACATCCATGAGTACTTATAGATATATGAAAAATTCATGGATACCTATACTAAATAGGACAAGTAGTGGGGGACTATTATTTGCCTCTACCCCACTTCATTATCATTCCTACTTATACTCAATCTTGAATCATTGACAATAAGCATGAGTTATTCTCTTGATACATTATTGATTGTTGACTCATAACTAATTTTTATATTATTAGCTTATTGATTTGAGCATTAAAATCTTTATAGGGACAATCAACTCTCCATTTTATTCTCAACATTTATTACTCACATAAAAATTATGACAAAACAAAAATCAAGTTGTATATATAAAATATTTTATTTGATATCATTAATTAATTAAATATATTTTATTTGTGTAAATATAATTTTATTACACTTAATTATTGATTTCAACTTATATTTTTGAAACTAAATTATATTTCTAGAATAATTTTTAAGTAAATACTCAATTTGGTCTTTGAAAGATGATAGAGGTGACTAAGAGGTCTTTGAAATATTTTTTTATGGTATTTAAATTTCTAAATTTTAATTTCATTATGTAAGTTAGTCCATTTGTTATACTTACTTATTAATTTTGTTAGTCTCATGACTGATCAATAATTAATTTTCACTTTGACACATATTTTCTCTCCTTGCTAACCTGTAATAGTTACAAACTAAATTTTTTTTGACACGTGACAAAATAAATAAAATTTTAATTTAATTAAAAATAACTAAAAGTGACATTTGAATGACTTTTTTTTTTTCATTCATTCTCATTCTCATATTTTATTTCACATGTGTCATTGATATGTATGAAACATGAAACTTTAAAATGTTATTGAAAAGGAACATCAACCAATAGCTATAGAGTAGCCATTATCTTTGTTGATTAACTGAGCAAAGAAGATCATTACCATTAAACTCTTCCTCACTTCTATCATTAAAGTTTTGTAATTCATTAAACATAACAAAAGCTCTCATATTCAATTAATATATCATTACTTGAGATATTTTAGAATGGTCACTTATTTTGCTAAACCTCAAATTCAATAATTTAGGATTTACAATCCTAAACATGTAGTTATAACATATGAATAAATTAAGGATGTTTGAGATAGAAAAATGTAACTATATCAAACCCTATGAAACCTAACAACAACCTTTCATTTTAATTAAAACATTCATAGCCAAAATATTAAAACATGACTAAGTGTCCATTGCTGATTGAAAAATATTAAAATCATGCATTATGATCCATATTAGGTAATTAAGAGAATGAACAACCAATTGAGAGAGAGAATTAGTGAGAAAAAAATAAGTGTCTAACACTTAATTATTGACTCTTTAAAAAATTAACAAAATTAATAATCAAAAATAATAGAAGGTCTAACTTGCAAAATGTAATTAAAATTTAGAAAGCCAGATATCATAAAAAAAAATATTTTAAGAATTTTATCAATCATCTCTATCATCTTTTAAGAATTAAATTAAATATTTATTCAACAAATTTTACATATTTTTCTCGAAATATAAGTGGTCTGGTATAATTTGCCGTCTTTAATACTCATGTAACAAATTTAGTATAATTTAGTAATAAATAAAATAAATATAAACGTGACATAAAATCTAAGATGTCAATAATAAAATTTAAAACAAACTAAATATATCTCTATCCTTCAACGATAACTCTAAAAGCACCAATGAAAAATTTCTTCAATATTGGGAAAAAAGTTAATAATTTTCTTTTAGTATTTTATTTTTATAATAGTAGTATTTGCTTTGTCTTATATGGTGAGTAGTAAGAAAGTCATAATTTTGAGGAGGAGACAAAATGATTCGTTGGATCTGAAATGAACTTTTATTATCTTTTGCCGCCCTGTGTGTCCTTCCAGCAGTTCCACGTCATTGGGCCTTAGCCAAGATGATAACAAGTGTAAAAGTAAAAGTTAAAGTAAATATGGTTGACAAGATAACTGATGTGGGGTCTGAGTTTTTATTTTTATTTTTTTTAATGAATTTTCAATTATTAATCATATTAAGTTATTAAAAGAACATAAAAAACTGATTTGCAACTTTGTAATCACTGTAAATGCATAAAGAAAGTAATATTTAATCAACTTCTTTTATTATTATTGTTACTATTATAAAAAATGTTATTATTACACTTTTATTTTAAATAACATTGGCCCTTATTATTGATTTAAAAATACTTTTTATACAATAATCAACTATATATATATATATATATATATATATAAATAAAGATAGATAGGTAGATTTTTATGTAGATTATATGTATGAACTTTGCAATTTTTGCTATGATTTCGCAAAAATGTGATTATTATTATTAAAAAAAATCATAGTATTTCTTATCTTCACATTCTCGTATAAATTTCTTTTTTCTTTTAAATAATTAATAATCTTACACATTTTTGGCTAAATTTTTTTTAGAGATAATTCTTTCACTTTTTTAAAATCTTAATCACAAACAAAGATATAAAACTGGTAAAGATATTTTGCCCCTCAATTTTTTTTTCTACAGCCTCTCTTTATTCTTTTATTTATTTTTCTAAATTACACTTTCAAGTCACTTTATAATATTTAATACATAATTCTAGATCTCAATTATTAATTTTGCAATTTTAATCATCAGCCTTGTAAAATTCACGATTTTAATCTAAAGACTAATAGTTTAATGTTGATCATAGTATAATATTAGATAGATGATATAATAATTAAAATTCAAAGGAAATTATATTTTTAATCTTTAATTTTGTCTAATAAAAGAGACAATAAGAGATAGAAATGAGAACTAAAATACTAATTAATTTAAATGTAATCAAATATTAATTATCTCATCATCTATTATAATCAATGTTAAAAAAAATTTAACAACTAAATTAAAATTACAAATCTTACAGAATTGAAGAATTAACATTGAAAAATAAAAATTTAGAAACTAAAATTGCAGGTTGAATATCATAATAAACCAAAAATACACTCTTTTTTTGGTCCCTGGAATCTACACTTCTCAAATAATTTTTACAATTTGCATAATTTCTTGGATTGTTTTTTCTTTTTCGTTCTTTTTGTGTGTTTTTTTTCCTTCCATCATTTGTTTTACATATTTAAAAATTTAATTTAACAATTTGACTGGATCAAATCAAATTGTTATTCTTTACCAAAAAAAAATCAAATTGTTATTGGACTGAATCAGGCCAAATGCTTCAATATAATCAAATCCAACTAACTCCATCTAATATCGATAGGATAGGATCGTATTAAAATTTTCCTCATTTCGATCCTGTTCTTAAGCCCTTATGGCTTGTGTAGTTAGCAGTCTAACATAAAAATATTACTGTCATAGTAATCGTTCAGAGAGTGGTTATAGTAAAGAAAACGATTTAAAAGAAAAACCTTACAGAAAACTATTTAACAAGTAATTATTTCTTCATAATTAATTCATCTAACCACCCATATGTTCTATTAGGCAATAGAATAATCAACCTTCTGTATCCAAACATCTTGCGTCATTAAATTTTTTATAAAAAAATGTGGATAAAAGAAAATTCAAAATATTATAGAGTAATGAAAAGAAATTTATAACTCCACATATGCCTACCAAGAACAAAGACTCATCTATAAGCTGTACAGTTATGTGTTTTCTAAAATTGTATTTTTGTTACTTTCAGTCTAAGCCTTAACTGGGTTGAACAGATTCGTCATAACCAGACACTTGAGCCAGCTCCGATAATTCTTGCTCGCCACTTAGAACCTGAAAGTAATGCCATCAGAGGCACTTAGAGCAAAGCAAATTATGGTGGAATAAAGAGGGTGCATAGTTATAATCACAGCTTATTGCCTTTTTACCTGGCCATTAATAATCCAAGTAGGGAAACCTTCAAGTTTGGCATCAATGCATGCCTTGATCATTTTAGTTCCCGTACGATATCCCTCGGGAAAGCATTCCACATAATCCAACTCCTTGGCTGCCTCACGCCCAAACATCTGTATCAGCAGGTTGAAGTGAATAATTATGCTTGAAGAAGTGTTAGACATCAAACTCTAGCCAGCTAGGTTTGTGAACTCTCAGTTCTGGACATTATAGAAAAATAGGTTGAAAAACTAAAATTGAGTATGTTAGTATGCTATGATAGATCCAAAACAGAGGAATCTAATGACACTAACAAGAATAGGAAAAGCTTTCATGAAGAAATAAACCATGAAATCCATTGACAGCTACTCCTGAAGGCTGAGACCATGGTCAAGATCTTCACATGAAAGTAGTCATATGATTGAAAATTACATTACCTAAGTTGAATCCTAAAAACTAATCAGATCTTACAAACGTCTTTCACTTCCCACTAAATTGATGACAATGACTTTTCAAGGTAGAGAAATGCATAACACAAATCGTGAGTGATCTCTTTGTTCCAGACAATTCATGCATTTTTCTACCAAGTTGAATTCTAAATTCTAATCTGATCTTACACAAGTCACGCACTTCTCACTAAATTGGCAACAATTTCAACTTTTCAAGGTCGAGAAATGGGTAAAGACAGATCATGATGGTTTCTGTTCCATTTAGTATGACTAAAAACTTTGAAAGGAATTATGAGCGATCACATACCTCTTTTTGTTCTTGACAGTGTGAACACCAGAAAGCACCATACATTTTGGCTCCTATGGAGTGCAAATACCTTGCTAGAGATAGTGCAAAAGGGCTTGATGGAGTTGTAATCTCGGTTGCATAATATGGCAGTTCAATTTCAGCCAGGCTGTTAAGGTAGATGATGGGAAAAATTAAGGATTTCAAATTTTATGTTACAAGCATAAGCATTCACCATGGTTTCATCTCCCATGGGAGTAGGAAACAATAGATTAAACAAACAAATAGCCAGATGAGGTTTATTTGCCAGAAAAAATCAAGCCTTCACACAAAAATTCTACTAGTGACCACCAAGTAAACATCACCCATTTCTTACATCTCCACATTATATAGATATAAAAATATACAAATTACATTGGCATACACGAGGGGAGGGCAACTAATTCTATTTACTTTGTATTTGTGCAGAAACCCTAATCTGTTGATTTTTGGGCACATGACATATGTGACGGCTGTGCAAAATTGTTTCACATATATCCTATCTAAATAAACATAAACAAACTGAAACATCTAAGAAACAGAAACATTTAATAAGGAAATATTAACCATGACCTGAAAGCCAGCAAAGGCAGTAGAAAATGTCAATTAGAGATTAGTTTGCCACTAAGCTGACTTTAGATAAATTTTTCCCTAAGCACATAGGAGAATAAAATAATTGAGTTTTTTTTGCATAAGCTAAACTCAACTCCTCACATATGTATGCATATGCACTTAACTTTTATAGAAGCTCTTTTCATTTAACATCTCCAAAAACTATGGTGCAGAAGTTGGTTTTGGTTTATGGAGAAGCCTAATGCATTTTTACCTTCTTAGTTTCTTCTCCTATAATTACTTGGGAAGAAATTCATTCAAACATAACCCTTTTGTTCAAGCTTGTGCAATAGAATTGATTGATATGTTGATCTAAGCAAGTTGATAAAAGAGACAGTAATATTCACCTTGAGGAAGCAGATTTAGAATTGCTATAAGAGGTGTTCAGCGTGAGAATCACTAAGCTAGCAACAAGCAATTGCACACCCAGATGTTTATACACCTCTTGAAATCCAAGGTCCTATAACAGAAAATCCAAAATCAGTAAAAGAAGCACAAACAGATACAAACAGACAGCTAAAAAAGGTAAACACAACGAACCTTGAGTGTAACCAGAAACAAGGTGAACGACAAAAAAGCCGAAAGTAAACAATAGGAGCAAGACGAGCCAGAGAATTTAGTGGTTAGAATGTACAAAAAATACGCACTAGCAGCTGCCATGGAGGTTGTGGCTCCAAGCAACACTAGTTGAGCATTGGATTTGCTAATCCCAAAACGCAACTTCTTCGACGCCAATTGAAGACCAAGAGCAGCAACCAAGCCATACGCCGCCATTCCAATCAAAGGAAGAGGAACACCTAAAATAATGCAAAATGACCATGCCGTTCATATTGCAAATTCCAATAGCATTTAGAACTTGTTTGGATACAAAGAAAGCAAGAATTTCTCTATCAAAAATTAAGATTTCTCTAAATAAACTCCTCCAAAAACACTTTCAAAGGAGAAAAATATCATGAAAAATGAAATAAGTTTTTCCATGAGTTAAAACTAGTTTATGAAGCTGAAACTAATTTATGCACATGTTAAAATTTTGGAGAATCTACTAAGAGAGTTTTTACAAATAAATTAACTTATTCATAAATTAATTTTAATTTATAAAAATTTATTTTATTCGTTTCTTTCTTTTCTGAAAGTGCTTACGAAAGAAATTTATCTAAAACACACTCTTTATTTTCAGCGAAAAAACTCTACAAAATAGTTATAACTTATCCAAACACACCCTTAATTGATTACAATTCAGTTAGTTAGTTAGTTATAGCACATTTCTACAAATAAGCAAAGAAGCGATACCGAAAACAAGGGCGTAATCACTGTCGAGTATGTCGGAGCAGGTGCCACCGCCGACGGCACAAAAAGCGTCGGAGCCGGTGATTTTAAGGTAAGTGAGGTACGAGGTTTCGAGGAATCCGATACCGGCGACCCCGGCGATCAGCTTCTGAGTCCAGCCGGCGGGAGGCATGGCGGTTTCCGGCTCCGAAGAGGAGCATCTGAGAGGAAGCAACCGTATCCGGTTCGGAGAACGGTGGTAGAGAATCGGAGCTCCGGGAACAAAAACACGAGAGGACGATAGTGACAGCGTGGCGAAGGTGAAGGTAGCCATGGAGAAAGAAAGCTTTCCCTTGGCTCCTTCACAGTCACAAAAGAGTCCAAGGAAAGGAAAATCGTTAACGGTGTCCATTGGGCCGGTTCGCAGCGGACCTCGTTTAAAGCCCAATAATTTATCCGCATGGGCCATATCTTGGAGCGGCCTTTTTGTGGTGTGAAAATATCTAGGCCCAATAAAGAAGGTCCATAAGTTCCGTTTGAGGGGAGGTGGTGCCACGTGTAAAAGAATCTCTCCACCCAAATCCGATGGGCTTTCTGAGGTGGAAACTTATCCAGAGTCGTGGGTGGTGGGTCAGCACTTGTTTCGGACTTATCCCTGAAAAAATACGAGCCATTACGTGTCATCTCACAAGATTTTATCCAAAACAACAAATGCAACCTCTCATTTATTTCACAATTTTCTATATAACGTGTAATCTATCACCAAATGTTTTAATTTAGAGATCTTGTACCATTTTATAGAGTGGGGTTATCTACTCATCTATTTAATGAAGATTCATAATAATACTTATCGATGAAGTATTACCCACGTTTTTTTTTTGTTTTTTTTTTTTGCTATTCCCAACCTTTATTGACTAAAGAATTACCATTTGTAAATTGGCACCAACGAATATTTATTTGATTCAACGTATTATATGTATTTAATGATCTCATTTGTCTTATTGTTTGTACCTATTTACTAAGATTTCGCTATGAAAACTTTTCCCGGGGATTGATTATGATGAATATCCTACAAAAGGAGTAAAACAAAATGAGCAATTCTAAGAAAATAGTAAATGAATTAGTGAGTAATAATAGAGTTAGATTTTTGTTGAGAAAGAACAAGAAGAGGAATCCTGAACAATAGATGGCGTGGTCATCCATTACTGGTCTTCACGAATGATTACGATGTCATTGTCTCTATTACGTGTTATTCCAAGTCTACTTCTAATATTTACAAAAGATATATATAACTTATAATATTAAAATTGTATAAATATAATTCTTATGTATTTCAAATAAGAAAAAGTAAATTGCCCTATTAAGAATAATGGCAAAATAATGCTTTAACTTATGAATGAATATCATGACCTCTTTAATGTTTGCACCCAAAAAAAAAAAAAAAAAAGTTAAGCTCTTGAATATTCTATGTATGTATGTATAAATGTAGAGGTGTGGTGGCAGTGGTTATCATGCAAGCTTTCAAATATTTGGCTTGGGACTTGGGAAGCATTGGATAAAAAAAGAACCACTCATTTGCATTTGGTAGTTTATTCCAACAATCTCAGCGATGAAAGCAATGACAGCAACAACGTTTGATGTCTCTGCCGCTTGCTTCCGTGCTCCTCCTTCACGTTCTCTCCTCTTCTCATCCAATCTATGCCATACAAGGTAAAAAATAATCAAACCATTCTTCTATGCTAATATTTCTATTTTATTTTTATTTTTTCATTCTTTTTCTTTAACTTTAAAGTGTTGTTACGTGCAGCTCTTCAATTCTGAACTCCCTGAATTCTCACAAGGGACGGTTTAGCGTTTCTGTCCCACCCAAGTTTCCAAACTTCCGGTAAGTGCGAAGGGAGTGTTAATCATGATTCATAAGCTTCCATAAAGCGATAACGTTTTGTTTTCTTTTGTTCAGTTATGTTTCATATGAATATTTTTATGATTAAAAAGGAAAGGTCTAGGACACCTTATATGCTCAATAGAATAAAAAGATGAGCATAACGAAATGGATCATGTCTTAATACATTTTGACACCTTATATTTTGTTTTTTTTTTTTTTCATCAATTCAAAAGTAGATTGTGATTAGTAGGTATGATGAATGGTGTTGTGTGTTTGTTATTGAAGGAGGGAAGTTGGTATGAAGGGAAATTTGGAGGCTGTTAGAGTTCCAACTTCAGTGCCTGTGCGTGTAGCATACGAGCTTCTTCTAGCTGGTCATAAGTATTTGGATGTAAGGTAAGCGATTATTGTTAATTACTATCATTCGTCACTAGTAAAGTTTAATACACAACATGTTTAGATATATTTGGAATCATGTTAACTGTAGAATCAGCCAAAACCTCATCTCTTTCCATTTTGTATGCAGGACCCCTGAAGAGTACCATGCTGGACACGCTCCTGGCGCAGTTAACATACCTTACATGTTCAGAGTTGGATCAGGTTCTATTTCAGTTCTTAAATCATACATTAAATCTTAATCATCTTAGTTACAGAGGCAGCTTCTTAATTTGTTTGCTTATTCTGTCGCAATTGGCTGAAATTTTGAACATTTGGTAGTTCTAAAGTACTTAATAATTTATGATTTCCGTTGAGTAGCTATCTTTTGCATCCAATGAATTGATAGTTTCGAGTTTATGTAAATCGGGACACTCAATTTTGCCCATCCTTGAAATTCAAGTATTTTTGTTGAAAAGTTCAAATTAAAATATCAATAGTAGTTGTAAAAATTAATAATCTAATACGGTACCCCATCAGAGTATTGTGGTGGTCCTGGGTAATTTTTAATTTATTAATATACTTTACGACTCGGTATAAATTTTCCATTCATGTATACAGGGATGACTAAAAACAGCAACTTTCTTAGCGAGGTGGCTTCACATTTTAGGAAAGATGATGAAATTATTGTTGTGAGTGCATATCTTTCTAAACTCTTGTTGAGTCATTAGGTTCTACATGTTATTTTTAAAACTCCTTAATTCAGATGTTGACTTATGGTTTCACAGGGTTGTCAGCTTGGTAAAAGGTCCATGATGGCCGCAAGTGACTTGCTAGCTTCAGTAAGAATTTTTTCTTCAATGCCTTAATTTTGGAGTCTAAAACAAGCATCTTAGTTTGTTTGGATGATGTCTAAATCAAGTTTTGTTTTTCCACGTCAAGGCATCTTTCATGGCTAGCTTTATATTATACTAACTAGATTGACTATTTCAGCCTTTCTGTGCCAATTTTAATGCTTCATAAACAAAGGAACAAGGTAGCTCTAAAATTAGCTTGTCTCAATAGTGATCAAATAAGGGAGTATTCAGCTTTATTAAACCATTGAAGTTAATGGATGAGTACAAGTACAACCTAGTATATAGTTGAATTAGTATTAAAGTTACTTTCTTAAGAGTTTGTGTAATGAGTCTGGTGACTAAAATTTCCTGATTGTGCAGGGTTTCACTGGACTCACAGACATGGCTGGTGGGTATGCTGCTTGGACACAAAATGGACTTCCAACAGAACAATGAAGTGTTCCAGTTGGACCTGCAGCTGTATATAGAATAATTTTGGGAGGAGTTGCATGCATGGAAATGCATAAACACTTAACCAAGACAATGGAAATCTGATGATACTGGAAAACAAAATCCATAGATGGAAAAAAAAAAAAAAAAAAGTACATGTAAATGCGGGAAAGAGGGGGAGGGGGGGTGTTATGTATTTGTCAATAACTAAATATCAACAATAAAACAAAATGTTTAATATTTATCAAACATTGCAAAGAAACTCTCTTTTTCGGCTTGAAGTGTTGTTAAGGATACGTTCCTTTTTGGTCTTTACACTACTAGTAAGACGCGTATTGAATCTATCAGAATCAATAGACGTGGTTTTATTGAGTATATATCAAACTTTTTCTATCAATTTATTGGACAGTTGTTGGAATAATGTATGGGTAGTAGACTATGCTTGAATGGGTGGATGATGGCTCGGAGATGGTTGTCAACCATTGGTTGATATGATTATGACTAGTTTGTTACAGATTTGAGAATGGTCGTGGTACATAGAAAATATATATATATAGTTTGTTAAAGAATAATTATTATAAGGTAGAAAGTATTTAAAATTTATTAAGTTATTTTTTACTTCATAAGTATTTTTTTTAAAAATTTATATAATTAAAGGATTTTTAAATGAATCTATATATTTAAAAAATGTATTATTAAACAAAAAATAATTATTAGAAGAATTTAAAATTTATATATTTTAATTAAAAATATATTCAGAGTATTTTTTAATGATATAATTTACTTTATTTTATCTTTTCTAGACTTGCTTATGGTAAGGATGTGGTACCACAATTTGCTAAGATATATTAATTTTAATTTATTATTTACTTATTTTAATGTATTATTTTATTAATTAAAATTGTAACATTAATCACATTAATTATAAAGAACATAGAAACATGTTTATTAAATCGCATTTCTTCTATAAAAAAAATATTATGTACTTTCAAAAATACAAGTTAATTAATTTATGTAAAATTTATAATTTTAATTATCCACACAAATCTTATCAAGTAATGTGTTGGTGACGGTAGAATATAAATAATTTATTGAGAGCAACATTAGGCTTCTGGCGTCCAGGTAGGGATGACAAATATAATCCGTACTTGCGGATAATACTCGAACTCGTCCCGACTTTAACGGGGAATACCCGGCTTGACCGGGTACGGCTACAGATAAAACTCGATATATTAAATCGAGTAAGGGTACGGATATGTACTTACCTGCCCCACACTCGTACCCGTCCATGTTCCCATTTTTAATTTAATACTCATTTTTAATTTAATTATATTAAAAAAATTTAATATTTTTTATGTGTGATTATTTATTATAATATGAGATAGAGAAATAACCTAATTATAATTATAATATAATAAATAAATTAAAAATATCATTTTTTTGACAAAATAAAAAATAAAAAAATTGACGGGTACGGGTATACCCGATACCTGACGAGGAAGAGGATGAAGATGAAAATCATATACCTGACGAGTACAGGTACGTGGACGAAAATGAGTTTAACTCGTAGGGACGTGTATCATGAAACCCGTACCCACTCCGTTGCCATCCCTAGGTCCAGACCCTTTGAAAACATCCTCTCACCTTACTCTATGATTTATAAAAATAAAAATAAAATAGTAATTTATTGAAATCAGCATCAGGCCACTCACTGGCTACACAATAATATCCTTTTCATCTTTCCATTTCATTTGTCGAGACACTGTCCTTCTTAACGTTTCCTCCTTTCAAAAGCATTATCTCTCTCCAGCTAGCTGGGTCATTGATGTTCCTGGAATGTTTCAAGGTTGAACTACTCGTGATGTTTTTTAGTTCGTTGCTTACACTAATTCATAGGGAATCGGAGAGAACCAATTCACAAAAGTTTGGAAATACTCGCGATGTTTTTAGCTCGTTGCTTTCACAAATTCAGAGGGAATTGGAGAAAACGAATTAGCAAAAGCATCTCGAATTGGTAAGCTAGCACTGGTTCACTACGATTCACTGGAAAGGAGCAGATTCAGTTTCTATGATCATTATCACTTATTAACCAAAAAATAATTTGTAAATACACTGGAATGGGAAGCAGATTCTGTTTTTATGATCATTATCACTGGTTGACCAAAAATTAATTTGTAAATATTTTTATCCAATTATCCAATCACAAACCAGCATATATAATAATTTTATTGATTTATACAATAATTATTTTTAAAGTTATGCCAACAATAATTTTTTTATTGACAATGTAAGAATTTTTAGACCAACGGTATATAAAAATCTATATTTTGTCATTAAAAGAAAATATGCCGAGTACTTGTGCCTGAATACTTCTGGAATCAAATTGCATGATAGTACATGCCAATTTTATTACAGTTAAGCCTTGTACATCTAAAGTCTCAACATATAACGCCTCTACTAGTCAATTTCAAGGGTTTGGATACAGGGGAGTGCATCGAAAAGGCTCCCATTCAAAAAGCATGGAATAAAATGTGCAAAAATTTAGTATGAAATGATACCTTGAATTTTCGACTTTCACTAATCTTGCATCCATCCTATTCAAGGCGAATAAGTTGAGTAGACAAACGGGAGAAAGGCGACGACTGTTAGAGAAATTTAAGGCAATAATACAATACAACGAAATCTTTCAAGAGCAGAAACAACCAACGCAAAAGATCTTGGGTCAGACTACTATACAGGACAAAAAGGCTATACTGTCGTGTGATCCTCTTATATAAATATCGACGTCAATGATGGGCCCTTCTAAGAGCTGAGAGAAAGCCATGGGATGACTTATCTTTGTGATCATTGACCTGGTAGAAAAAGGAAACTGAAAGTTGCTTAATAGGTCCAACTTTGTGTTGGGTTTTAAATTTCAGCAATAATTTACCTCTTTTGCTATCTGCTGAAGAATTTCTATTATTTCGGAGAAATTTGGTCTCAGGGTTGGATCTTGTTGCCAGCACCGCTGAAGCAGTTCAGAAAGTCTTGGGTGTGTATTTTTGGGGATTGTAGGCCGTAGGCCCTAAATAGCAATTCAAGCCACGTAGAATCATCATCCATAGGCAAGAAAATTATTTACGATGAAATTATTTGCAAAAAGAGCAAGAGTAACAACCTTCTGCACCACGCCAACTGCTGCTTGTAATGGGGTCAAGCAAGAGTAAGGTAGCTGGTTACAAAAATAGCACATACAATGAGATAGGAGTGATAGAAACTGATCATCGATTGAGACAAAAACAGAATAAAAGCATGTTTGGATGCAAGGTTAAAAGTGTTTTCAAGAACTTCTCTACTGAAAACTAATTCTTTATTTTCAGCAGAAAAACTCTCAAAAATACTTTTCCATTGTATTCAAACAGGCTAAATGATAAATGCAGCAAAGCCCTGCCAGGCATGAAAGTACTCACTTCTCCAGTTAAAAGCTCCCAAAGAGCTATTCCGAAACTGAAAACATCTGCCTTCTGGTCATATGGTTTGTGTTCAATGACCTTCAAGTAAAAATTAAATCAATGGACAGGGATCTGAAGTATCATTAACGGCTAAATTTAAAATAAAATCAGTAAATAAAGCAAATATGATAATCATGTAACCACTTTAAAGTCCATATATTAAAGGCATGTTTAATAAAGATGAAAATGAGAATGGAACAGAGGAATAAGCATCAAAGCACTGCATGATTTGTAAAGAAATGCATGAAAGAAAACAAATTTCATCTATCTTTTTTAATCTTCATGAAATTTAAAAAATAAAAGAGATAAAACCGAAATAAAATCATAGTTAAATACCCAAATAAAATAAATTCAATATCAATATGACAAAATATTAACATCAACCCAAACGAGTATATATTCTACTAGTTTAAAATTCTTCTTCACTATGGACTAAGATATTTCAATCGTAACCAAGAACATCAACTCAAGTGGATCAGCTTCTCAGGATGGCTTGAACTCAGAACTGAATTCCACATAGGATGTGCCTTGCTTACACTTAAGCTCACCTTCCCCTCACCAAACAACAAATAAAAAAATGGTTCTCTATTTTCCTTGTCCATAACCATATTTCTCACTTTTCAACCAGCCAGAACAAAAATGTACCATGAACAAATACTGATCCAGAATTAGTTTTGAACCATTGATCAATGATGTCACCCAAAAAATCAATCAGGAAGTAACGTGAAGTCCAAGAAAATCCATACCTCAGGAGCCATCCAACGGTATGTTCCAGTTTCAGCTGTCATCACTCCAGACTGAGTTTGCACTCTGGCAACCCCAAAATCAGCAACCTTGACCACCTATTGAGGAACAACATGCTACTTGAGAACAAATAAAATGATAATTTTAGTGATACTTTAATTCTTCTAGAAAAACTATTGTTTTCCTCTGATATCTTTGTACATATTTTACTGAATGCTGACAAGAGTTCTGCATCACACAAATACCCATCTTGAACTTATACAAATTATAAACTACAGTGGTTCTTGTGTTTCAAGATGACAATCAATTTTCATTCATCAATAAATATGGGGACCAAATAGATGCAAACTAGTATATAGGGGAAAATGGGGAGACATAAGCAAAGGCTAGTAGCCTTTAGATTCAAGCATTTGGCTCTCCTCTAAAGGGATGTAGTTGACCTTAGAAGTTAAAGTGCAGTTATAGCCATTGATTAACAACTTCATAGCTTGATAAATAAGTCCCCGAAATTTCAACCATTGATTTTTTAATCAATGACTATAACTGTTCTTTATTCACTGAAGTGTACTCATTTACTTTAAAGGAGTTAAATCCCAGATTCAACATATAATACCTTGAATAGATAAACTAATCTCTTTTCTTTTGAGGTAAGAATGAAATATTAAGACTACGATAGCATCTCAGGATAATAAACTTAAAAGTAGTGGACTCCATTAACCAAATATTACATACAGAGAGCAGCAAAACATAGACCGATAACACTGAAAATGCAACAGACAGTATCAATGTGTGCATTCATGGAATCCTCTTACTTCATTTTCATCCATCAGAAGATTGGCAGTCTTGAGGTCCCTGTGAATTATATTATTTTGGTGCAAATAGTTCATTCCCTTGGAAACATCAATTGCTACTTTTAGCAATGATGGAAGCTTAAATACACCTCTTTGTTTGTGCAGAAAGTCATATAAGCTTCCCCTAGACATAAACTCTGATAAAGTCATAAACATGAGTACATAAGCAAAAATTGTATTATCATGTGACTGAATATGGCACCCAGAATCATCTTAGAAATTAAATTACTTGATAAAACATATATAGGTTAACAGAGATATTATACAGATTTGAAAGCTAGCATAACTTACAAAAATAAACAACATAAATATAACAGGAAGGCATGTGCACAGGGCTTCCACCATTAAGGGTGCGGGGAGAGTCAAAATGTAGGTAGCCTCAGCCATAAGCAGAGAGGTTGTTTAAAATCCATGATCACCAAGTTATAATGCAGTAACATTATCATTAAACCAAGCTCACCCTCTAAACAAACAAATTCCATGAAATATAAATATGACAAAAAATTCTAAGGATTCTCTCCTATTTACCAGTAACAATGCAAAGACTTGGGGGCCTAGTACACGCGCCAATGAACTGAACAACATTCTTGTGTCGAATCTTCCTGCAATCCAAGATAAACAAGAGTTGGTAAAGGGAGAATGATTACTCAGGACTGCAACAATACCATATCACCAATCAGTAATCACTAATACTGACAAACTAGGATAAATAGACTGTTAAACAAAGTAGTGAAATTTTTAAGATTGAAATATTATTAGATATTTTCAAAAGCATTTGATGTAATGAATATCTGAAATTGAGACTTTTTAGTTAATATAATCTTTCCTGGAATGGTCTAGAAAATAAGTCAGACAGTTTTTCTTTAAAGAAGTTCTTGTGATTGCAATTAAGCCAAAATTTATTAATCAATTGATCCATACATTTTAACAGTCTATGATGCCAATTTTCATGGAATCAGTCTGCCATAAAAATTGAAATCATATAACTAAAATGTGGGTTTCTTTTAGAACCATACAAAATTAAATTACAGCTAGAGTCTGGTTTACATTAAATAATCGAGCAGCAGTGTAGGTAACACAACTTAGCATGTGTGTGCATGAATGTAAAAGAGCTTTAGAAAGTCTCTTTTGGAATAGGAGCAATAAGATTGTATCAAGCTGCCAGGGTTTATTGGTTTCCAAACTGAGATAAAAATGAAGAAATAAGACAGAAAAGATCTAACCAGAAGTGTAATGGCTGACCAGTTCATATTTTCAAGTCTGGGGAATAATAAGAAAAGCATATCCTCAATGGACAATAAACCACTATAAATAGCACAATATATCCAGATAATTTATCAAACAACATCAAGCCCACCACTTTCATTCATCCATCATAGTTATAGGTCGTGCAAGCCAGATTATAGTCTAACATAATACAAAATGAACAATTGTAAACTGGAAAGAGGAAGCTCCAGCACAAGGCAGAAAAGCGAGAAACAAACATCACTGTAAATGGGAAATAGAAGTTCCAGAGTTACATTCAATGATGCAAACAAACCTCATGATATAAACTTCCTGTGCAAATTCTCTCAGCATATCTGTACTTATGCGCTCAGGCTTAAGAACTTTAATAGCCACATCTTGACTGCAATATGTGCCTCTGTACCTAAAGAATTTTAAAGAAATGCATAGAGAGAGACATCAGTTAAAAAGATATGTACAGTTCAAATATACATCAAACATCAACAACTCACAAGTCACCAAATGACCCAGAGCCAACTTTGTTTTCATATTTCAGCTGATTGGTATCAATTTCCCAGACATCAGCTCCATCAGATGGTATTTGAATGAAATGAGGGGAGGGTTCCACCCTTGCCTGGTATTGTTCATTGGCAGCATAATGCATGCCCTGATTTGACATGCATTGGTCCTGGAAAAAAGATAAGGAAGTTTATATCAACAAGTCTTTAACAGAATGAGAAACAAAATTTTGTCGTCTGCATGAAACATGAGTGCAAAGAAATATTAATTTTACCAGATGTTTCCATTATTCAAATGTAGTCCAAATTAATACCAGTTCCTTTCTTTAAGGAAAAAAAAACTACAATAATCTCATATACCCTGCTTAATCTTGAATAGGTGCCATTTTATCAAGGTTTAAAGCAACTAGCAAAAAAATTAAGATATTTCCAAAAAAATATAGGACTTAGTATTTTGAAATTGTCATGAGCACTCTCTATCCCAAAAACATAAGGTGTTAAGTGAAGACACGTGAAAGGTTTTTGTATTATATCTCGAAAAAGTGATTAAAAAGGAGAATATACCTTAACCTTTAAAATTTCCTTTTCCAACACACCTTTGAGCTCCTCAGTTTCCTAATGGCAAAAAGAAAAAATCGATGGATACAAGAAGTTTGGATCCAGATAGTATAATTGGAAAAACAAAAGAATTATACAAATAAAAATCAAATATTAGATAAAACAGGGAAAAAAATATTATGAACATGTAAGAATTGCATGTAATGATGCAACAAAATCAATGGATAGAAAGGCAAAAAATTCAAAATCCTGATAAATTTACATGACAGCCACCACTCTTGCTAGGAGCCATTACATTAAACAAAAGAAGTAGAAAAGAGAAAAGAAAGCAGACAAAAAGAGAACTCAACAAAATGTAACGTGTCAATTTCAATGTTGACAAAAAGATTCCTCAAACCTTCCTCTAATATTTTATTGCTATAACAATTTCATTATTTTTACCAGCTAATGCATATGAAGCATACACACAAGACATTAACAGAAGAAAGATCCTATAAATATGGAAGATACAATTATCGTGATCCTTTTTCTACGTTAATTTTATCTGAAACATTTGAGACATGGCTTTGAAATGTGCCAAAAATGCACCAGTAGATCCAAAAAATCAATGGCAGCCACAATCTTACTTATAATTGAACAGGCCTCTTTTTATTGGATAATGATGTAACTAAGCCCTCTTCCTTAGTGCTACATAACAGGTACCTTACATGAGATCAGATGTTGGTAATTTGGCCCCTACATCCAGCAGCAACAGGCTCGGGCTATAACCGAAGGCCGAAGTGAGCCTGATAGCACGATCGGCTCAGCTTGAGGCCGATACGAATAGAACCATAGACATCTTTGCAGGCCACGGACCGACTCGGACAAGCCCCGAACAAGCAGTTCAGCGCAGCAAACGCGTAACGGCACAGTCTAAGGCCGAGCCGAATGAGGAGGCAATAATTAAAGCCTTCATCGTGGTTAATAAGGATAAGTGCGTGATTAAGGCATAATTAGCTCATTGGCAGCATAATGCATGCCCTGATTTGACATGCATTGGTCCTGGAAAAAAGATAAGGAAGTTTATATCAACAAGTCTTTAACAGAATGAGAAACAAAATTTTGTCGTCTGCATGAAACATGAGTGCAAAGAAATATTAATTTTACCAGATGTTTCCATTATTCAAATGTAGTCCAAATTAATACCAGTTCCTTTCTTTAAGGAAAAAAAAACTACAATAATCTCATATACCCTGCTTAATCTTGAATAGGTGCCATTTTATCAAGGTTTAAAGCAACTAGCAAAAAAATTACGATATTTCCAAAAAAATATAGGACTTAGTATTTTGAAATTGTCATGAGCACTCTCTATCCCAAAAGCATAAGGTGTTAAGTGAAGACACGTGAAAGGTTTTTGTATTATATCTCGAAAAAGTGATTAAAAAGGAGAATATACCTTAACCTTTAAAATTTCCTTTTCCAACACACCTTTGAGCTCCTCAGTTTCCTAATGGCAAAAAGAAAAAATCGATGGATACAAGAAGTTTGGATCCAGATAGTATAATTGGAAAAACAAAAGAATTATACAAATAAAAATCAAATATTAGATAAAACAGGGAAAAAAATATTATGAACATGTAAGAATTGCATGTAATGATGCAACAAAATCAATGGATAGAAAGGCAAAAAATTCAAAATCCTGATAAATTTACATGACAGCCACCACTCTTGCTAGGAGCCATTACATTAAACAAAAGAAGTAGAAAAGAGAAAAGAAAGCAGACAAAAAGAGAACTCAACAAAATGTAACGTGTCAATTTCAATGTTGACAAAAAGATTCCTCAAACCTTCCTCTAATATTTTATTGCTATAACAATTTCATTATTTTTACCAGCTAATGCATATGAAGCATACACACAAGACATTAACAGAAGAAAGATCCTATAAATATGGAAGATACAATTATCGTGATCCTTTTTCTACGTTAATTTTATCTGAAACATTTGAGACATGGCTTTGAAATGTGCCAAAAATGCACCAGTAGATCCAAAAAATCAATGGCAGCCACAATCTTACTTATAATTGAACAGGCCTCTTTTTATTGGATAATGATGTAACTAAGCCCTCTTCCTTAGTGCTACATAACAGGTACCTTACATGAGATCAGATGTTGGTAATTTGGCCCCTACATCCAGCAGCAACAGTTGTGCTTTGGCTAGTATTGGGCGGGGCATCAGCTAGCACCATCCCTTGCATCATGATCAGTCCTCTCTCTCTCTCTATATATTTGCTCTTTTTTATAAAATAACTGTAAATCTCTTTGTTGGCCATGATTTGGAATTATTGTGTATACTTCATCTTGGCTTAAATTGGAATGTTTTAAATTTTGTTGGCTGAAGATATGTGTTGCACTGCAACAATTCTGTTTTGTTAATATCAGTTTTAGAAAGCAATAATAAATTAATTAAGCATACTATTTCATAACAAACCCCACTATGTTCAAAATTTGTCATAATCGTCATATTTATCTATTCATATCCATACAACATGATTGTCAGAAATGCCCCAGAGACAACACTAGTAATCACATATTATCTACTAAAATGAAAAGGTAAACACGCCATGAAAAGATGAGAAGTTAAAGTAAGGTATTATATATCTTTTTACAAATTCAAAATTGCAAACCATACTCATAGCAAGAAGTTGGTCAAGGTATACATAAAGTCCCTCTGTTTCCCAAAACACTTGCTAGTGATTTTATGAGGCCATTGCTTAGCTACGTTCTTCCTACCTCATTAGGCCATCCCTCAACGACAAAGACATCCAGAGAAAATCCATCCGTGGTGGAAAATGCATGAGCTTCTTGAATATTCAGTCCCATCTCACCAAGTATTGAAGTTAACTGCAATGCATAGTAATGGGTGACATACAGCCCATAATGTAAAGCACAATTGTTCTATCTTATAATTGAAGTATTTTATTTTAATCCATTGATAATGTAAAAAGTTTTACATTGTCATATCATGTAACGAATTTGACACCTCATGTAAGTCTTTAACATTATCAAATTCATCTAGTGATGTGATAACTCATCATGAGACAGTGAAAAACATTTTTACATTGATAATGCATCAAAATTAAACTCGCTTAAGAACACCAAATAATTTTATCCTTGTGCAATGAATATCCATTTGAGTTAGCCACAGATTTTGCAAATAATTATAGCTTTCAACATAAATGAAATTTCCCTTTTTTCAAAGCATAAAAGAGCAATTGAAATAAGCCAAAGTAATCATCAACACTCTCACCCCCAAGAAAAAATAGTTAAAGTAAAACACTCTTCTTTAGCATTTCATATTATACAATAAATTATATAGACAAGAGTGCAACCACATTAGAGTTTAAAAAGTTATGATTACAGAAAATGTTAAGAGGTGACAACTGAAAAGATTACGATAATCATTTGTGCATAATTTTGTTGTTTCTTATACATTTTTACCTTCAGAAATTCCCAATCTAAGCTGCATGAAAAAAAAAAAAAAAAATACTTGGGCAAAATTACAACTTTTAGTACTTTACAAAAAAAAAACTCTATATATAATTTTAGTTTGACAGCAACCACATCAACTGGCAAGAAATTTGCTCATAGTTGATATAAAAGATACTACAATCCAGAATTACTTCCTGCATTGCAAGAAGTGCTCTGACCTAATTGATGACACAGAAAAGCAAGGCATATTGTTTATTATCATGTTGGAAGTTGAATAATACTACAGAAAAGAAAATATAATGATGATTAAATACAATAATATCACTTAATAATTCAAAAGCACCATATACAAAAGTATTAAAAAAATTTAAAATCAAGTCAGAATTAACCACCTGACTAAGGAGTTTAGGCTTGTCAATTGTTGAAAAGGTAATCTCGTGCATTGGCCTAAAATATAGTAAGTGAAAAGATTAGCACTAGTTAGAATTTTAAACATTAATATATTTAGTAACTGCTATACGCTAATGGAAACAAGAAGGCATGCTACCCCAAGAGAAATTCAATATGGAGGGTCTTTACAATCTAAAAACCTTGTCAATACACACGACACACACACCCCTATTGACTGATTCTTCAATTTGTTTTTTCTATACATCATACTTCAATGATGACCACATAATTGTGAAAAGATGAAAATGACTAATACCAAAATTAAATATTCTCCAACCTCACTTTCTAAAACTAGAACAAAAAATAAAAAACCAATAAACTTGCACTTGGGAAATACTATCTTCAAAGTGTGAGATTTTATCCTAATCTATATACCAACCTAATCATAAAATACATGTTTCTACGTAAGACACTTTTTAGCAATACTAACTGAAGTTGAAGAGAGCAAGCCCATTCATAATATCTTTACATTAAGAATAACATTCCAAAATAGTGAATTTATTACCGGTGAAAATATGGTGTCACACTCATAGCACTTCGCCCATCTTCAATGCTATTTTTAGTTGTTTGAAGTGCAAGAGCTTCAAGATTAGAGGATGAACCAAATGTAGGTGGTGGATGAATCCTGTTTTGCCCAAGAGAGAGACAAAGGAATGAGATTAAAAAATAAATAAATGGCATGAATGAAAGCATAATAACAAGAGCTTGGATAATAAAAACGATCATTCTTATTGAACTACCGCAAGGATAGAAATAAAACTGATACGAAAATACAAGAGCCTACCCCTGTTTTAAAGAATAGTTAAAAGAACTTTGTGCATCTTCTTTCTCAGAAGGATCTGAATGCATGGAATCAACATAATTTGCACCACCAAAAGGATATACCTGCATTAAGGATGAAAGTATAATGAATTAATCCGTATGTGTCATTTTCTATAAAGTTGCTGATTCCGTAGTTCCAAATTTTATGTCAATAACAGCTAGCAGTTATTGATAGTGCAATCAAGGAAAAAACATTTCCATGCATTTTCAACAACCTTTATCTATTCTATATCTATATAAAAAAAACGATTCCTTATTTTTGCGTACACAATTTTTGAACTGTTTTACCCTTAAATTTTTAAATAATAAAAAATAATAATGAAAATTAACTATTCTTACAAATCCAAAATTCAAACCAAGGCATTGAAGTTTGAGGATTAGACGCAACACCACTTAATGTTTTTACTTTGGCAGGAATCTTAAGATGAGGAAGTTACTTTTCTATATTTGGTTTATTAATTAAAAATTAACCGTATAAAAACTAGTAAAAATACAAACTAAAGAACTTTAATAAATAACCGTGTACTTTTAGTCTTTATTTACGTGTTTACAAATTACCTGCACCAAGCGAACTTGAAATGCTGGTCGAGTAGCAGGGTCCTCCGCCAACTTGAGCAATTTCTTATGAGCTAGAACATCTTCCGCCCTCTCCACATTCACATCCAACGCGTACCTATGTAGTAGCAATCACAGTGACCAACCAGGAGACTCGTACAAAAACCACTCTGGCAAATCCACTTACAAAGGTAAAGTAAAAAAAAAAAAAAAAAAAAAGGCAAAAAAAAATCACTCAGCTATTTTCCTCCTCCTTCAACTTCTTCTCATTTCGAGTTCAAAATAACAAGGAAAACAGTCGAATTGCAAAAACAAGCAGGAATATACAAAAACACAAGACAATAGACAGAAATTCCCTGTGAATCATTTTCAGCAGTTTCCGAAAAATAAAGAACCAAATCTGAAAGGCAAAACGCAAGCAGCGAGGTCAATTAATTAACTAGTCAGTCAATTCGGAAGCGTGGTGAAAGACCTAGCGGGAAGACGATTGAAGTGAAGCCAAAGCTGATCGTCGAAGCCGGGAACGTGCGCCTCCTCGCAATCGGAGTCCTGAATCCGCCGCAGCACCTCATTGTACACCTCCAGCTTCTGCTGGTGGTGGCGAGGGTTAGCGTGCGACGACTGCACCGCCCTGCTCCCGCAGCTCTCAATGTCGTGCTCGATCACCATGAGCGCGATCAGCACCGAGCGATCGCGAAGAACGAAGCGAGAGAAGAAAGAACGCACGAAGACGGAGATTCAGTTGACGGAAAACACTTTTCTGAGTTCTGAGTCGTTTTTTTTTTTTTAAATCTGGTTGGGCACTCTTTGCAGGTACTAATGAGTGTTTTGGCTTCGGCGCTGAGTGTTTGTTCCAAGCTATCCACGTCAGCGTGGGGCCCGCATTCCGCCCAAAGTGGGCACACACAGCAAATTGAAACTTGCTCATCGGATAATTAAAATATTTCTTTTCCGCATCTGGTCTTGGAATAAATGAAGATGCTTTTTATTGTGGAGCAAATACAAGATTAAATTTTTAAATGAGGATAAAATTAAGTAAATACAATAATGGGGGCCCACCGCGGCTCTGTCTAAGGTTTATTCGGGAATATGGGCTTTTGCTTCTAATCCTTAATCCTTAGGCAGATGATAAACACACCTCCACTCTCGTATAAACACACTTCCCTTTTAAAAAAAAATATATAAAATGTCTAAATTATCCTTAAAATAAAATAAAATTCTTAAATTTACACCCCCTTCCCGCACCTCACACCCCCCTTCCCCCTCCCCCGCACCCTCACACCCCCTTCCACCAGATTCCCGGCGATCGCGGTGGCTCCATCCCTGTCTGTTTTCTCTCTCTTTCAATTACGTCTTTCCTTTCTCTTCCCTTAATCACTAATTATAATGCGCTTAACTCAATTCCCTCTTCATATAGGTTGTCATTGAAGAACTCGAATACATACTGAAGGAGCTTAAATCCAATTCTTCAATCAAAACTCTCACCGGTGGCAGCGTCGCCAACACAATTCGCGGACTCACTCGCGGTTTCAGAATTTCCACCGGAATTATTGGGGCCTGCGGGGATGACCACCAAGCCCAGCTTTTCGTCAACAACATGACATTCAATGACGTCGACCTCTCGCGACTCCGTAATAAGAAAGGACACACTGCACAGGTTTGCTATTTCCACAATTGTACTATATTTCAAACAAATAGTGTTCATCGACAAATCCATGGTGAACACTTTTTCTGTGCAATGCGTGTGCCAGCAGCCACGCTCGCCGCAATTGGGGCGGGTCTCGTACTTCTGGGGAACAATAGAAACTGGCCACTGTAGAGAAAATAGGGGTGCAATTGCGGACTACAATGTTTGTCACTTTAGGAAGAAGGAGGATGTGGAGTGTGAGGGTGCGGGGAAGGGGGTGTGGGATGTGGGAAAGGGGGTGTAAATTTAGGAATTTTATTTTATTTTAAGGATAATTTAGACATTTTTATATTTTTTTTAAAAAGGGGGTGTGTTTATACAAGAGTGGAGGTGTGTCTATCATCTGCCTAATCCTTATCCTCTCAGATTAGAAAACGTGGGCCAATGGGCCTACCAAACCATAAAACCTTCTTTTTAATCGCACTACTAGGACTAGGGGTCGTTTTGACAGCACGATCAGTAATGGGAAAAATAAAAAACACAATGACCACAAAAAAAGTTAATAGTGTGTTTGGATGAGGAATTTATATAGGGTAATTCATTTATTTGAAGAATTTCAAATTTCTTGAGGTGAAATGCTTAGTTTGGATGAGGAATTTATAAAGAATTTGAAATCCAAGCATTTGTAAATTTCCTTAAAATAGTAGAATTTCAAATTCTCTCAAAAATGAAAGAATTTGAAATTCCTCATATTTGTTTTTGTTATTTCACCTATATATTTTATCTTATCTCTTCATTCTTTTAATTATTGAATATTCAAAAATATTTTTAAAATTATTAAATATTATCTAATATTAATTTTTAAAATTATTAAATATTTAAAAATGGATTAATATTTATTTTTATAAAATTTAATTTAAAAATCTCAACATATAAATATATTTTTAAAATCAATTTTACTATGATGAAATCAAATTATCATATTCAACCTAACAATTTAAAATTTAAGAAATTTGAATTGACTCATCCAAACAAAATATTTTAAGAATGATAGAAATTGAAATCAAAGTAATTCAAATACCAAGAATTTAAAATTCCTTGAATTTGTAAAATTCCTCATCCAAACACAAAAGTTCACAAATACCCACCAGAATTTTATTTTCCTTTTTCCTCAACTATTTTTCATTTAACTGTTTTTTTATCTAGATAATTATTTCAAAAACTTAAATATGATTTTTTTATGAATTAAATATGCACCAAATAAAGTAAGTATTATTATTTAGGTAATGTTAATCTAATGAAATATAACCATATTTCTAAACATAGTATGTTTGAAAGAAAATTATATAAATAAAAATTTTATTTTTAGATAAATTAATAAGAACGTTTAGTTAGAGTTTAGTATTTATGAAAATATTTTAAAATTTTAAATGATTAAAGAAAATTTTATTTATGTTAATTTAAATTTTGTTTTAATATATTGACTTAAAAAAACTGAAAGTTTGAATTTAACTTATTTATTTATCGTAATTTTTTTAACCTATATTCAACCTTCTCAAAATATGAATCTTTAAAATAAGAACTTTTATTCTTCAGACCGATGTTAAAACAAACTGAATTGATAAGTTAATTTTTTTATAAGTATTTAAATTCAACGACGCTTAATTTTTTTTTATTTAGTTCAAATGATTTTTAAGCTAAAAATTAAACTAAACCACATCGTCGAAACTCTTACTAAAAAGTTTGTCTTTAATTTAAGAACTTATTCCCAAATGTGTATATAGTAAATATTTTAAATATATTAATATGCTTAATTATCTTTAAATGTACCAGTAAGTTTTTTTATTTTTACACCAAAATGGACCAATAGGTTAAACACTGATTTAGTGAAGTATATATACATTTTTAACTAGTAATGTAATTTGATAAAAATAAATAATAATAAAACCTAGTCATTTTTTTTATGATAAGAATTATATTGTCTATAACAAAATCCAAAACTTAAAAATTTGATCTCTTTATCATTAGATGAATCCTAATAGTTTAAATTATTCATTTACTTTAATATAATTAGACATTTTTTTAAAATCAGATAACAAAAGCATGAGTAATATAATATTTTTTGACAGAATATATATTTATTTAAATAAATAAACATGATGAATTTAAAATTGATACATGTGTATGTGATGGTTGAGTATTAGATCGAATAAAGCATAAATAGATATAAATACTAGAGAAATTAAGAGACAAGACTCCTCTTTCAAGTTGGTAAAAGTAATTACATTTTCAAATAGTCAAACTTGGTATCCCTAATTAAATCAGAACAATTCATAACAAGCCAATCAACACATCACAGGTGATTTTATAGATGGAATATAGACAGGACAATAGAATTTAATGAAGTAGTACGCTTTGGCCTATCTCATTCTTAGTCAGCAGTAATTTGGTGGTTAATTTGTATTTTATTTAAAAAAAGAAGAAGAAAAAAAAAACTTTGAAGACATTTGTACTTGTCATCATACTCAAGTAAGAGAATATTCAACGAATATGTATAACATTGAATTTTTTTAATAATAAAATATATTTCAAACAATCATGTCAGTATAAATATTATATACATAGATATAAATCTATTTTATTATTTTAAATAAAATTAAATAATATATATTATGAGTTATTATAGTTTATATTTATATTTTTTTAATGATATATTAATACATATTAAATTTTTAATATAAGTAAAAATAATTTTTAATAATAGATATAATGTCATCGTAAGGATTCGGACCATAATTCAGAGATCTTTCGAATTATGTAGTATAATTATTTCTTATAAAAAAATGATTCAGCTTCCAGACGTGAATGCCAAAATTCTCTTTGAATGAATAAAATAATAATTTAAATTATAAAATATTAAAATAAATAATTATTTTATAATAAATTTATTAAAAAATATTAATATTTTAAGAATTTGAATCATAATTCGGAGATCCTTTTGGCACTGTGTAGCGTAACTCTTTCTTATAATGTGCTCACAAGTCACAAGATCAAGGTTTATGCAACATTTGGAGTCGCATTCTGATAGGTCGTTTTGACATGGCCAAAAATGACTCTACACGCTTCTCAATAGCCAAAACCAAGAAAATTAACGATTAAAAAAGAACCCGAAAATAAAAGCCAGTTTCGCATGCATGCTGATTTAGTTATATACACAATTGCATGTAGTTGACCCGCAGACTCTGATTTTATTTTTCTTGAAAAATGAGGTAGTATTTATTAGTGAAAATAGTTCGTATTACCATCATAATTATTTCCAAACTTAATTATTACCAACGATATTTGGAAATCCACTTTTTACCTTTGACTTTATAAATTGTACTATCCCTATTCCCTATTGCAAGGTCGAGCTCCCAGCTCGGCATCGCAACGCATGACGACCTCGGATACGCGCTACGTGATGTCAACTCGTCACTTAACCAGATCATAACTGATCTGAGGAGATCTCGGTCCAGACAAGATCCGCTATCTAATTAGATCACAACTGATCTCAGGCCCAATGCCCAACGCAACCCTAATTCACACTAAGGTACGTGCATTAGTTATACGAGACATATACTCATACAAACCCTAACTTTAGCATCGGAGTCTCTTTTGCAGGTATCACCCCATCTTGGAGCATCAAGTGTACTAGCGAAGGAGGCTCACCAATCTTACTCGGAAGATCATCTCTACGACAAATTCCCAGTAAGAACATTTGGCGCCCACCATGGGGCCGATCAAGACAACTCTTATCGGCCACGCTTATGGTATTCACCAGAAGCCATAGCAGACGCGCAACAGACGACGCAGATCACTCAACTACCATGGACAACGAAGCCACATTGAGGAGACTGATCGACCAGGTCGAACAGATGCAACAGCAACACGACGTCGATCTGCGAAACATGCGTGCCCAGCACGAAACCGACCTAGCGGCGATGCGGACCGCCAATGAAGCTGACCTAGCGGCGCTACGCGTTGAAAACGAGCGGATTCACGCCTAGCTCCCTCGACGCCCCTCTGATCATCCTCCTGAGGCGAGCAACCTCCACGAGGAAGAAGGACACTCGGTCTCTCAGTCCCAAACTGCGACTAGGGCACCGACTCCACGACCTACCACGCATCGGTCTCATGTTCCGACGAACAA